ATATTTACATGCACACACATACACATACATATGTATTTATTTATATATGTGTTTAAATATGTATATTGTATCTGTACGTAATGGTTTGTACATTTAGTGTATGAAATGTGTATACAAATGTACCAACTATTATGGAACAGAGGTAGTAAGAAATAATTCCAATTCCAAATTGAAAGGATTGCTGCTAGTTCTAAGCTGGTTCTCTTTAATCCTGATATGCTACTGTGTTCCCATAGAAATTGATTGCAATATATTAGACTACCTCTGTCCCATAATGATTGGTACATTTAGTGTATGAAATGTGTATGCAAATGTACCAAACATTGTGGGACAGAGGTAGTAATAAATAATTCCAATCCCAAATTGGAAGGATTGCAGCTAGTTCTAAGCTGGTTCTCTTTAATCCCGATATGCAACAGTGTTCCCATAGAAATTGATTGCAATATATTAGGCTACCTCTGTCCCATAATGATTGGTACATTTAATGTATGAAATGTGTATGCAAAGCATAAAATGTATATTGGAACAAACATAGTTTAAAAAAAAGATAACCTTTTTAAATGTCAATTGTAGTAAAAAAATTTTCTCCCTTTTCATTTCCAATTAAAAACTTATTCTCAATGTGCCATTCTTCTGAATATCATTTGCTTTTTAAGTTGATATCTTGGCAAAAGAAAAGTATGGGGTATTAGCAGTAAGGCTTATCCTCTGCTGTTATGCCAGTAACAATAGTCACTGATGTTGTGGACCAGATTAATAAAATTGAAGACATTACTTATTGAGTGCCTAATAATGTTTTAATGATTATTTGTTAATATCATTATCATAATGCATCTGTAGCCTTTATTTATTTTTAATCAGTTCACTCCAAGTAAGTTGATGAAGCCACTGAGACACAAGGTTAATGAGAGTGAAAGAAACTGAGAAAATATTGAGGTGGGGACAGAGAGAGAGAGAGAACAATAAAAGAACCAAATTCAAGGTGACAGGAGATGATGATTGACATTGCATATGAATCTTTGAAGAAAATATTTGACTAAAAAGCAAGAGGCTGGAAGAAAATGCTACAGGCTCTTGCAGGAGAAGAATCTATTAGAATAGAACTTACACTTAGCAACTTCAGCAGCAAAGGGTAAAACCTAGCCACCAATCTAGTATTGGGCTTAAATTTTTGAAGTTGAGGTACCAAAAAGGAAAATAATATTTATTTTGAAAAATACAAAAATGTGGCACAAGGCCAAGAGTGGGTAATGGGATTTGAAAAAGGCTGGTCTTTATTCTGTCTTATATTAAACTTAGCTAGCCACGATTACTGACCTAAACATAACATAGTATTTCTTACACCAAAACAACACATTCTTATATACAATTCTTACTAACAATCACCATAATAACTCAAAGTCTCTATGAAGTTCGAACTAGTTCCCATATGTACAATTTGTCTGCTGGGGTGGGGGGAGAATAAAAAATTTAAAAAAATGAAACCCCAGTGAATATTTACACCAAAGAGGAAAGCACATTAAAACATTTATCATGAAAGTATTTAGAGAAAGACACAGGGAAGCCACATTAAGGCAGTGGGAAAGTGACTGAAGCTGAGATGCCAGGTTAGGACCAATAACATTGCAAACTCTTTGTTGGATTTTTCACTAGATACATAGCAGAATCACCAAACGAGATGTGGTATCAATATTTGATGTATGGATGAATAGTAAAGGTGTAAGATAGATTCTGGCTGGAAAAATTGTCTTGTTTAACACAGTGAACCAAGTTTATTTATATAAAGAAATAAAACCTGTCATATAACACTGTTCGCATAGATATTTTTAAAGGTAAGCTATTTAAATTAAATTGGATTATGTATTGACTTTTAGTGATAACTTGGTGACATTTCAGTATTTTGTTAAATGCAATGTCTCTTCAGGATGTAGGTAAACATGGATTTTCACCAATTCCTGTTTTCTTTTTTTTTTTTTGCCATGACTTCTTGGGAAATGTATATGGTTTCCTGTTGTCTTCTCCATAATTTTGAATTTGGAGTAGTCTTTCTCCTAGAGTGGCTGACAGCCAAGGCTAGAAGGCCCAGTTTAAATGCTATTTATCCCATAGCTGAAGGGAGAAGAAATGTCCTCCTCAATGGCATCAGTGAACTTGAACTTAGCTCAACAATTCTATTTTCCACACCGATAATTGTTAACATCGATAAATAAAATAGTTGTAACTCCCTAAAATAACTTTTGAGAAAATTTCTATATGGAAATTCTATCCTTTTTCTTCTATGTGCTGTGTTCTTCAGCACATAGGCAATCATGGCTCTCCACAATTTCCTGTCATTTGTAGCTCTTAATAAATTTTGTCTTTTTCTTATTTCTCCTAAACCCTGTTCCGCTATCCATTTACTTAAGCTCATTCTTCGTCTTCTATGTGCTGTGTCTCTTCAGGACATTGGCGATCATGGCTCTCCACAATTTCCTATCCTTTGTAGATCTTAATAAAGTTTGTCAATTTGTTATTTATCCTAAACTTTGTTCCACCATCTATTTACTCAAGCTCACTAAGTATGTTAGGTGTTGTTTTCCTCTATCTCTCTCAAGCCTTCAATCTGTGCTGTATCAGATTTTCCAATTCCTCTCTCCTCATTATGTACCCTAGAAATTTCAATTGCCTTTCTTGATGTTAAGTATAAGTTTCCTTTTTATTTCCATTTTATCTAAAATTTTGTTGTTGCTCAGTCCATGGTATCCTCAGCATGCTCCTGTAGAACCACATTTCTGCTGCTGCTGCCTCAAGTTTCCTCTTCATCTGTGAGGAGATTGTCCAGCATTCTAGGAAGACTGATATTACATAACAGTTCATTACTCATTTCTTTGTTGCTAATAGAATGTTTCTGTTTCTTAATACTCTGCTTAGCTTTTGGAATGCATCTTTGGCTATCCCCATGCAACTTCGGATTTCAGTGTCACACTTTCCATCCTCTGTTATTTTCCTGTAATACAAAGCTAATCAAATTTATGGCACTCTTTAAGTTGATTGGTCTGCTTATTAAAAATACAGAAAAAACTTAGAAAGAATAATTTATGTAAATTAGCCTTCATTAGACTTTCTTTAATCCAAAATCGAAAAATATTGATTTTTTTTTTTTTTAATATTTAGTATCAATTTTTAAAGTATGAACTGTCTTCATCATATAAATACAATGTCAAATCGGTCTTTGACTTTTTAACAAGCTAGCTGAGCTTTGTTTTTATTCACAAATGTCGAGTCTGTGTCACTACATTTCTCCTCCCTAATCTCTTTATCACAGTTCAAAAAAGTACACGTTGGGATATCATCATATTATTTTCAAATGTAACAGGGCAACAAATGTCTTGTAAATTTTAACACCTCCAAAACAAAACTGCTTTCATTTAGTCACCACAGTGAACCTTTTCTGTCTGACATCATCATGGCTGATGCTGAATTCTAGGAGTGCAACACTCTATGCTTTCTTGGTACAATGTTTTCCGCTGATATGAAGTGGAGCAAGTATATCGAATCAATTGCTATTTTTTTCCTCTTTGATTGATGTTCTTAAACTTTCTATTAAGAATTGTGCCACAGAGATTTTCTTCTTGGGTTAAAACTGGCATCATTGCTTTTGTTCCTTCCCTACCACCTACAATCTTCAAAAATTCAAATGCGATGTCAATTGCCATCTTCTGTCTTCCTGAAGCCTATTCCTTTATTGTCCTTTTCCTCACTAAAGTCTTCTCATTCTCTTTCACTCCATATAACCAACTGCATCTTAGTAGCATTGTCAACTTGCTTGGGATAAAATTTTGATTAACAAAATATTTTAATATTCTATCAGCCTGTGCATCTTTGAATGCACTGAGCAGTAAATTTATTTCTCACTGTTTTAAAAAAAAAAAAAAAAAAATGATGAAACAGGACATCTATTCATGCAAGTGCATCAAATGAAATATAATATTTAAAGTACTAAGAAATAATATTGGATTAAAAATTCAAAAAACTATTAATTCCTGCAAAATCAGTTTGTTTTCAATATGAAAATAAAATATTAGCACATATGGGCTTTTGAGAAGAATTAAACAAGAAAATGTGCATTTCTGAAGTGGAATGCATAACTTCTAAAATGGTATCCATTTGATTATCCCTTTTTTTAGTTTCTAATTGATTTTTTAAAAAAAATTTTAATTGATTTTTTTCATGAAATTTTTGATTGATTTTTTTCATGAAATTTTTGATTGATTTTTTTTCATGAAATTTTTGATTTTTTTCATGAAATTTTTGATTTTTTTCATGAAATTTTTGATTTTTTTCATGAAATTTTTGATTTTTTTCATGAAATTTTTGATTTTTTTCATGAAATTTTTGATTTTTTTCATGAAATTTCTAATTGATTTTCTTTTTTTAAATTTCTAATTGATTTTCTTTTTTTAAATTTCTAATTGATTTTCTTTTTTTAAATTTCTAATTTTTTCTTTTTTAAATTTCTAATTGATTTTCTTTTTTTTAAATTTCTAATTGATTTTCTTTTTTTAAATTTCTAATTGATTTTCTTTTTTAAATTTCTAATTGATTTTCTTTTTTTTAAATTTAATTGATTTTCTTTTTTAAATTTCTAATTGATTTTCTTTTTTTGAATTTCTAATTGATTTTCTTTTTTTAAATTTCTAATTGATTTTCTTTTTTTAAATTTCTAATTGATTTTCTTTTTTTAAATTTCTAATTGATTTTCTTTTTTTAAATTTCTAATTGATTTTCTTTTTTTAAATTTCTAATTGATTTTCTTTTTTTAAATTTCTAATTGATTTTCTTTTTTTAAATTTCTAATTGATTTTCTTTTTTAAATTTCCTAATTGATTTTCTTTTTTAAATTTCTAATTGATTTTCTTTTTTTTAAAATTTCTAATTGATTTTCTTTTTTTAAATTTCTAATTGATTTTCTTTTTTTAAATTTCTAATTGATTTTCTTTTTCTTTTTTTTTTTTTCTTAGGAGTTGGTCCTATCATGATAATAGTTTCTTGTATATGTTGTTGGAGTATGTTCCTGGAGGAGAGTTATTTTCTTACCTACGGAATGCTGGACATTTTGAGGTGGAAACAGCTAACTTTTATGCCTGTGAGTTAATCTGTGCACTTGAATTCTTACACGGAAAATCCATTGTTTACCGAGACTTGAAGCCAGAAAATCTGCTTCTAGACACCGAGGGCCACATGAAGATTACAGATTTTGGATTCGCAAAGAAACTCTGGGACAGGTAAGTTTCTTCATTCAGGATTTGGTTTCACCTGAGATTGTCAACTTGTTTATACTAAGATATTTGTCTCAAGAATAATATTGTTAGAATTTTTTTTTTTTTTCAAAGACTTATAATATACCTTTAGGTTTATTTTTGTTAGAATTTTGTTATTTATTTTTCTGTAGCTTTTAATATTAAATTTATGTAAATTTAGCATTGTTGATAAATAATTTAAATTTAAAGTAATTTGTGATGGATTTCTCTTTAAAATTTGTTCTTTTTTATATTTTGTTTCTGAAATTTGTAAATTCCCTTCACAATTGCTATTTTTTTTGTTTCCAGTTTGTTCTGGGATCATGTAAATGTCTAAGTTTATCATTCAAGTCAATGTTTTCAAAATAAATTTGCTATCATTGTCGATGAAAATTTTCAGAATATTTTTATATAAGCGATATATCATGAATTTTTAACTTCTGTTATCATTTTATAAAAATATTGATAACTTATTTTTGGATGCTAAGTTTTATTATGTAAACAAAGTGAAACATCAATTTTTACTTATAAATAAATTCAAAATCTATTAATTCCTGTAAAATTACTTTGTTTTCAATATGAAAAGAAAAGGTTAACACATATAGGTGTTTGAGAAGATCTGAACGAGAAGATATGCATTTCTTAAAATAGTAATTGCACCTGTATGGATTGTGAAGTTCTTTGAGGCTGAGTGGCCTAAAGCAAATGAGATCAGATGGTAGCTTACCCTATAAAGGAATATGCGTGTTCAGACTCTACCTGAGGGCAAATTTTCGTAAGATTCTTGAATCCATTTTTTTTTTTTTTTTTTTTTTTTTTTTTAAAGCATTTCACCCCAAGCAATGGGGGAGTGCCACTAGTACGCAAGGCATTACAGAGAGTAAGAGTAAAGAGGGGTGTTTGAGGAAAGGCTATAGAGAACGACGGGGATAAAGATCAAGGCATCAGAAGATGTCGATTGACATTAAATTTGAATATTTGAAGATTATAGCTATCAGGGAAGCAAGTAAGAGGAAGGGAGTTCCACTGTTAGGAAGTGCGAGAGAAGAAGTTGTTGGAATAAAAAAGGTGGTTACATTTAACTGTTTCGACAGTAAAAGGGGTGGGGCCAAGATGCCAACCTAGTAGCATGCTCAAATTCATTTAGTCAGGACACCAGTGAAAATAGCTTGTCAGAACAGTTGCCATGAAAATATTTGTAGAAAAGACAGAGGGAAGCCACATCACATCTGTGAGAAAGTAACTGAAGTTGAGATGACAGGTCAGGACCTATCAAATTGCGTATCCGTCTTTGGATTTGGTATGGTGGTTTCAATCAATCACTTATTCACATCCTCAAAATATTGTATTATTTTGCCTTTTATACCCGTGTGAAATATATACAATGATGATCTGATGCCATATAAGATATGTCCGCAGGGTATGAGAACTCTCTGGATCAATGCAGCATTGTTGCATAGCAAAGTACCACAATGTTTCTCCCCCTTTTTTTTTAAGCATTTTGCCCCAAACAAGGCAGGTGTGCCACTAGCACACAAGGGGTTTATAGAGAGTAAGAGTAAAGATGGAGGGGTTTACAGAGAGTGAGAGTAAGAGTAAAGAGGGAGGGGTTTACAGAGTGAGAGTAAGAGTAAAGAGGGAGGGGTTTACAGAGTGAGAAAAGATTGAGGGGATTACAGTGAGGGGGTGTTTGAGGAAAGGATAAAGAGAAGGACGGGGATCAAGATCAAGGCATTAGAAGATGTCAATTGATATTACATTTGAATATTTGAAGATTATAGCTATCAAGGAAGCAAGTAAGAGGAAGGGAATTCCACTGTTGGGAAGTGCAAGAGAAGAGGTGGTTACATTTAACTGTTTTGACAGTAAAAGGGTGGGACCAAGATGCCAACCTAGTAGCACGCTTAAATTCATGCAGTTGGGGTACCAGTGAAAATACCTTGTCAGAGCAGATGCCATGAAAATATTTGTAGAAAAGACAGCAGGAAGCCATACCATGTCTGTGAGAAAGGGACTAGAATCAAGATGCCAGGTCAGGATCTATCATATTGCATATTATGGGTTGGTAAATGTAATTCACAGTATTTTTAATAAAACAAAAAATATAAAAATAACAAGGTGTCTACTCAAGCTTTTGTATTCACTGAAATGTTTAGAATAATAAGATTATTACATATAAGTAATAAATGTTTTATATGTTAATATATACCCCCTTGACATTCTATAACTTTCATCAGAATAGAATGTCAAGGGGCAAAAATTGATTTTATGTTAACTTTTATACAATGGAATAATTCCACAAGCAAAAAACAGCATTTCAGTCTACAATAAAAAATGAAGACAAAGAAATTGAAGAACTTAGAAACCAAGTAAGAATTCAAATTTACTTTGCAAATGCCAAAGCAATTGAAAAAGTAAGACTTCCAAAAGACTTGAATAATATTCTTTCATAAATGGCATTATGTTAAAGCTCACACACTTCAAGAGTCAGGCAAACAGTTTTAAAAATACAATTCCAATTCTAGCAGCCTCAGTTGTATCATGGCTAACAAGTTAATCTTTCAGATTTACTATAGTATTTATTTGTTTTTTATGGTTCAGCAACCCTTTTCAGGTTATTTCAAGCTAGAAAATATTTTTAGATTCTGTTTTTTTTTTAATGAGTATTACTAATTAACCCATAGTTGGGAGTGGGAGAAGAGCTGTATTCATACCTTCTCCAAAGTTATTAGTGTGAAAGTGAATATAATGAACCCAGTATGAATTGGAACTCAGCTCTCCGATTAACAATTCCAAATCATCATCTACTACGTCATCTGCACATCTAAGTTTACAGCACCTGGTATTCTCAAGTGGTCACTCATCTATGTACTGACCAAGCTCAATGTTGCTTAACTCTGGTAATTGTACAGGAACTAGTGTTGCAACATGATATGACTATAAGCCTTATATATCTTATTGAGTGGGATCCCACATTTGCTGGGCTTGTACTAAACAAAGTTTAATTTAGTGTAAATATCAAAATTCTGACCAGCTCTAAGCTTAACCAGTATTAATTTATTGGTTAGAAAATTAATGAATTAGATTTTAAATTTACAAACCTTTCTTATTAATTTAAGTTCTTTGTAAAACCAATGTCAAACAGACTCTCTTGTTTACCTAAGCACTATTTGTACTATTGAAAATCCAACAGTTAAAATATTGTATATCTGGAGTACCAAGAATTCTTTTAAAACTAGGTGGTACTAATACATATTATCTTTCACCAATAATGCCTACCGAAATAAGACATCCCTTTCTAAATATTTTTGGAACTTAAAAGAAGTTAATAAAACATCTACGGTAAAATGGAAAATACCAAAAAAAAAAAAAAAACTAGAACTTGAAAATCTTTAAATGAATCTTGCTTTATTATGTTTACATGAAAAATTAGAAATTATCAAATTTGCTGACAAACAATCCCTATTAAACTAAAGGAGTGAATTAACCGTAAATTGCTAACACAGTTTATCTTTTAGCTTAAAATATAGTTAAATTTTAAAAATTACATATTACCATTTCTTATAGCCATAATTTATTAGTATATAATGGTCCACCCTCTACAGGTAATTATCTTATTTTGTTTATTCAGCTTCAATATTGCTATGTATTGCTGTCCAGTTAGTATTATTATCTTATATAGATGTTCCACATTTTCAATTTTATCTACAGGTCCCTTTAAGAAGCTTTCTGAATCTAAAATTTAAAAAAGAAATTTTTTTTTTTAACTTTGTCTGATTATCCTACCCCTCTCTTTAAAGCCCTTTCAAAAAATTCATGTCATATTTGTCTACAATCACAATATATTTGTCACATATTTTCTGCAATTGTTTATGATTGCCTGTCTATGTTTTGGTTTATCATGGCATGAAAAAATAACTCACCCACCTCCATGCTCTGAGCTTACTTTTCTATTTAATGCAGATCTGACATTTAATTGGTTGATCAAGACAAACCCACAAGCCTATTTTTAACTTTGACTTTCTGTTTTCTCACCCTCCCCTATTTATCTTTTGGAAAAGAGGTAACATTTGGCTTTTGAAATTTTCTTAAAAATTATTTAATCACCAGTCACTTCCCATCGCCTGAAGAGGCACAACATAGTGGCAAAATGCAAAAGTAATTGTGTAGCGATTTCAACATCTTTTTTATTATATATATATATATATATATATATATATATATATATATAAATAAAAGAAAGAACAGCAAGATATATAATCCGTGTTCTTATAGATATTTTTATTTTTACAAAATAGTGCTCAATGTAAATTTACAGAGCATTAATATTAAAATTAATTGATTTAAAATATGTTTTTTTCGCATACACAGTTCTAACCATGTTTCAAAAATGGAAGCTAAAAAGCCACGAATTTAATTTTGTGATTAAATTAAAGATATTAGTTCCATTTCATCCTCAAGCAAATTCGCTTCAGGATGAACTGTGTAGCAAAAAAACATATTTTAAATCAATTATATATATATATATATATATATATATATATATATATATATATATATAATATATATAATGTGTGTGTAAATATTTCTCAGACTTAACCTGTAGAAAAAGACAATATGTATTAAGGAAAAAGCAATAATATTCATGAAGTAGATATATATAAAATAAGTTGCCAAAACTGTTCCTCACAATACATTGGAGAAATATGCAGAATTTTAAAAAAATGCATGTATGAGCACAAAAGAGACCTCATAAATAACAATTTAACAAATGAACTAGTTATACATAGAAATAAATTCAACCACAGTTTTGATTTTATAAATGCTACACTCATAAAAAAGAAAATAATTCACTTGGAAGAAAAATCCTTGAGAGTGACACCATTTTATATTATTCAAATATTAATCTATGCCCAGGTTTTTTCCCAATATCACCTTTCCTAACAGAATCACTACTCTCCCAAGCCAACATACACAACAAATGTAGCAAGAAATCAAAAGAAAACAGTTGAATCCATCAACATAACAATACGAAAAATATTTCTACAGGTGAAAATATTCTCTTCAAACAAAGTAATTGATGTAATTTTTCAGTTGACCATATGAATATGCAATAGCATTTCTAAATTCTTCTAGTTGCTAATGATATTTTGTTTATTGCTTATAAATATTTTGTTTCAATAAATTCATTTTGTTTTTACCTTGAAAAAGTCCACATTGGATGAAATGCGTTGGCTAGAACAACAGTTTTCCTATTGTCTTTTTTATATATATTATCTAGTATATATATATACTAGCAGTGTTGCCCGTGCTTGATTAAAAAATCGTACGACTCATACAGCAATCACTATCACTTGACTTAAAATAGTTTTGCCCTTCCTTGCCTTTAAAGGAGTGCCCTTTGTCGTGCTCATGTTGCTACATGCCTTACTTCTTGCCTATCTCACACTGCAATTTTTTTCTAAGCTCTATACAAAACATTAAATCTGTTATGAAAAAAGAACTAAACAAAATGAACACAAAACGATCAGCTTTAAAAAAGGACTCATAACTGGAAAAACCAAATGAAAAAAGAATGTTAACAACAAATACTTTTTCACACTCAACCCAGTTCTGCAGAATCAGAATCAATGTTGAGTTTAAGCAAGTGAATGAGCCAATTGGAGTAAAGTGCCATGCAGATTTAAATTTTTCCCACTTGTGATGAATGCAGCTATCAATTTGTTTTTTGCATGCTAGCATACTAGTTAACATTCGTGTCAGTCAGCTGTTGGCTCTCATGCTGGCCAATAGAATCTTCCTGCCTATTCGTGGCAGCCAGCTATAGGCTCTCACTCTGGCCAGCAGAAAATGATTACAAACTACATGAAAACTGCTATAGAAGCATGGAAAAATTGATTATTTCCACTATCGATGCGAGTTGGGAAATGCAAAGTCTTGGCCATCCCGCTAACTTTGGTGCAAATCCGTCGAAAATTGTGGCCGTGCATTCGTTACACACACACACACACATCCTGCCTTTTTATATATATATATATATATATATATATTCTTTGTATACATATATATGTATGTCTATATTTATTCTTTGTATATGTCTATATTTATTCTTTGTATATATGTCTATATTTATTCTTTGTATATATGTCTATATTTATTCTTTGTATATATGTCTATATTTATTCTTTGTATATGTATGTATATATTTATTCTTTGTATATGTATGTATATATTTATTCTTTGTATATGTATGTATATATATTCTTAGTAAATATACATATGCATGTATATATATATATATATATAATCTTAAAATAACTATAAAAGAGTGCATTAGCGCATGTTTTTAAAAATCATTATGACAGCAGAATGCAGATTTTATTGCATTTACAATAAATTTGTCTTTGTAAATTACCCCTGAAGATGATCTTAGAAAAGATCAAAAGTACTTGGGTTAACAAAAACTACAGCGCCTTCCTTGATGGATTTCATATGAACTTCAGGAAACTGATTAGAGAACTGGAAAGTATCAGTATAAAAATAAGACACAATATATCTATATTATTCAATGAAACATGTTTGAATATATATTCTTAGTGTAAGTATGTGAGTATGTGTATATATATATATTTATTCTTAGTGTGTATATATATATATATGTGTGTGTATATGTGTATATATATATATATATATATATATATATATATATAAAACAGTTCAAAATTTTGAAGCCACCCCCAGAATTAACAGGGGATGAACTTGACAGAAGAGTGAAAAAAAATTAAAAACAAAGCTCTTAGTCATTGAAAAAAGAATGGAATCAATTATCAAACTTATATTTTGAGAAACTTTTTCAATGAATACCAAAAATATGTGCTGCAGTAATCAAGGCTAAAGGAGGATATTTTGATGAGAACAAAATTTGATCATAAAATGCTTTTTTTCTTTTTGTCATAATAAAATTTCTAATAAAAATTCATGTCTCACTTTTTTTTAATCACGTATAACCATTTTCTCTTATTTAAAATACAAAACAACTACTTTTTGGGTCAATTTAAAAAATTACCAGGAGTGGCCTCAAACTTTTGAACTGTAGTGTGTTTTTGTGTGTCCATATATATATATATATATATATAAAATCGTCAAATATTCTGTCCATGATATTAATTACTCTTGAATAAATAGAACCAATTTTAAATCGATTGTATCCCACAGCTGATTATCTTCAGTTTTGCCTCCTCTTTTTTTAATCTATTTAAATGTTTTTTTTTTCTTCCAGAACATGGACACTTTGTGGTACTCCTGAATATCTTGCACCAGAAATTATCCAGAGTAAAGGTCACAATAAAGCAGTTGATTGGTGGTCGCTAGGAATTTTAATCTTTGAAATGTTGGTTGGGTATGTAACCATAATTTCATTGTCACAGCAAAAGCCATTGAAATTGATTATCAAATAATCTAAATCTCATAATCTCTAGAGGTTTTCCATTATTGAGTCATAAATAATTTTTATCTTCTCAAGGATGAAATGTGTAACATGAAATATCTGTATGAACAAACACCCGGAGAAAGCCAGAGGCAGAAATTCAGGCAGAAACAAGGGAATTTTGTTTAATATTATAAAATTTATATATTTCTTTTGTGGAGAATGTGATATACTCAAAATTTTTGGCAACATGCTGATGCATGTTGAAATCCTTGCAATATTTAGTGTTATTGAAGTTATTGCTAACATTTTTTTGCCAGTATTTACAAACTCTACATTTCGTTCAATTTCACAAACCAATCAATGAAATTTGAATAAGCTGATTTGTTTGGAAAAATACTTTGACAAAAACCCTATTTCACAGTTTAATAATTTCTTTAATTTTATAGGACATCATAGTAAACAATATTCTTTTTTAGGATTTCTTACTCTTGAGCATGCAACATACAACTGGCAATATGTAAATATTTCTTTCTGGAACCAAATTCCAACTTTTTGAAGAATCTGGTCTTGTGATTTGTTTATAGTTCTTGCAAACAAAGGCTGAACTGGAAACTAGATTCTTGTATATAAAAGAAAAGATATGCCAAAAAAAATATTGCATTTTTATTAAATAAGTATTTGTTATTTTAATCATTAAATTGTTTTTAAAATAGTGGGAGTATTTTGTATGTTAAATAATAAAGCTTAATTTTAAAAAAAAAAAAATGAATGAAAATTTATTGGACTAAGCTACGCACCCTTGTAAAACCGACTGTATTTGTACCCCGTTACCTGTTTGTACTTCTCCCCTAAATTTGGTTTCAATTGGTCAATGTATGGCTATTTTAGAGGGTGTGATGGACTAACAGAAGTCAGAGAATTTTATATGATATATAAATTTGAACAATGTTAGGTAGATTAATGACAGTGGAAAATTCACGTGTGGTATGTTTTGTCCTTTAGGAGTTTCAGACTAAAGAAATATTTTTGTTGATATAATCACATAGGAGAGGTGGTATATAAGAAAGAAAATATGAATTGAGGTATTATGATTACTTACATTATTTACATTATTTGGACTGTTATCCTCATCTTCATTGCCATATTCACAATGTTTCGGCCGTTGTATGCTCTGGCCTTCTTCAGGTGATTGGAATTTTGAACCAAACCCTTTATTTTGTCCACAAGGGTAGATTGTTCTAGTTCCATGCGCCATGCCTCTTCTGGATGTCTCAGTTGTTTCCCTTTAATTGGTATTGAAATCACAACTCATTGGGTTTAGTCAATGGATCTAGCCAATGTCTTTATCCACTATGCCATGTGTCCTTGTGGACATCTGTGTATGAATTTCTGGGACTTATAAACCTAATGTCTCAGCAACCGTTTTTTACCAGAGCTTATATTGCAATTTTTGTTGTTATTCATTGCTTTTCTCTAGCACTCCTTATTACTGGTTCCTATATTGTATTCATATCTATGCTTGGTTGGCTCAGGTGATTTTTGTGGCCTAGCATATGTACTGATTCCTTATGTTTTCATATTTTCCAGTGATATTCTCTGTCTATTATTTCAACCTCATCTCACAGGTGGGAAAAAGGGTGATCACCACCCCCTGTGGGATGAGGTTGAAATAAAAGCGAGCATCACTGGAAAAATACAAAAATTTTTTTTTTTTTTTTGTCTGGGTATGTTATCCAGCCAACCTGACTGTTTCCCTCTTTAGCTCTTGTGTTTTTTTTTTGTGTTTTTTTTTTTGTGTTGTTTTTTTTTTTTTTTTTTTTTTGTTTTTTTTGTTTAATTCTATTATTATGTATACACATTGTGACAATAGAAGATCTGTCAAGAAATTTTGTTTGCTGGATCATCCACAATGATGTGGGATACCTAATAATAGAAATTAAAAAATAAATAAATAAATCATGGAAAAACTGAGTGTGGTTGGTTGTGTTATAAAATAAGACATATCTTGGCTGATTTACAGGCAAATACTCAAGAGCAAGAGACGGATGTGAACTGGACAAAACCCCATCACAAAATGACCATTATCTTCATTTACAAATGTTCCCGACATACGTGTTCCGGTCGAAAAATAAAATAATATTTAAAGTGTTCTATTTTTCGTCCAATAAAAACGCTTCCCTCCTAATTATACTTGCTTCGTTTTTCGAGCCTGTTAAGCCATAAAAAACGCTATAAAAGGGGTCACACAGAAGTTCAACAGGCAGTCACAGGTGGCCAGGGAAGAGACCTGTCACGGTCAGCAGCTGACAGCAGGGGAGCATTAACCACCGTCAACATGTGTGAACTACTATGAGAGATCGACCTAGATCTGAAGCCAGCTTATGAACTTTACCACAAGGTAGCTGTCCCAAACCCACATGTTCCTGTTGAAATAAACCATGTAAATCTATTTCTGCTGTTGTCATATTTCTTTCTTGCAACCATATGCTTGTCTATAACAGTTGGATGACATACCCAGAAACATGTAAAAAAAAAAAAAAAAGATAAAAAAAACGTCTCAAAGTTTAAAATATCAGCAATTACAACATTTTTGGATTTTACAGCAATGCTTTAGATAAACGAGGTCCTAAAGTACAAAACACGTCACACTGAATTTCTTCACATTGTAATTCAATCGGTTAAGAACCATATGTGATACACACTTGGGCAATCATGTCTGAATAGACAGAAAATGTTCTTGCTGTAGTTTGCCATTTCTTTCTGCGATAGACTGACTGCCAACCAAGTCTATAGGACCCAATTTATCCCACTATTTAACCCTTGTATTAGGGAATAGACATGGATTCATATCTTTTAATATTTGTCTATGCAACAAATAAATTTTTTTTTTTTTACTGAGTAGCAACAATTGTTTATGCACATGTCGTAACCTAGGGAAGGTTACTGAGAGTTGGAGATTCATTGTGGAGTTCACTTGACTCACTTCTAGCAGTTGATTACTTCTTCTATGCGCCACTGGTGAATATGTGTTGTTCTTATCCCAAGTATTATCATTCATTTCTAAATCCAAATATTGTTGATCCACACCAAAATCCAAGATCTCCACTATTAATGCTGTCTTCAGGGTTAGGGTTAAAAAAAAAACTGTTAAAGAAAGATTAGGTTTATAACTCCTCAAAATTCACTCACTACTGTCCCCAAAGAATTGAGTTCAATCCCTGGTCTCATCAAGGAAAACAAAAATTTGGAGGTGGGGAGAATAAAAACTTATCAAGGCAAATTAACTAAAACTGAAATATCTAAATGTTGTAACCTAGGGAAGCTTACTGAATAGAATAATCACACGAAGGTTGGTAATTAACGATAATACTTAGGACAAGAACAACACATAAAGGATTCGACAGTAGTGCGTAGAAGTAGTCAACAGCTAGAAGTGGGTCAAGTGAATTCCACAATGAATCTCCAACTGAAGACCAACATACAGTATTTACTACTGTATTTATGCGAATGGGGATATATGCATTATCATCCATAGTTATGCTATAACAGTACAATAAATTTTAGAAAAGTATTATTAATTCTAAAAGTATTGTTTCATTTCAGATGTCCTCCATTTTTTGATGATAATCCATTTGGAATTTATGAAAAGATTCTTGCAGGGAAAATCGATTGGCCAAAACACATGGATCTTGTTGCCAAGTGAGTAATAATTTGTCTTTTTATGTAAATTAATAAATTCAATTAACTTTTGAAAACAGCAGCTTTTTCTTCTTCTCTGTGCCATACCCTGTGAGGACATCAGTGACCATTACTCTCCACAATTTCCTGCCCTTCATAGCTCTTAGTAAACTTTACCTTTTCGCTATCTCTCCTAATCCTGATTCTGCCAACCCTTTACACAAGTTCACTGGGTAAGTTATGAAACCATTTTCCTCCTCCTTTCTCTCTCTGTCATCTGTCAGTGTCAAACTTTCCAAACCCCTTTTTGCATCCTGGGTATGACGATAAACTACATTTGGCAGCAAGGCCTCTGATCAAGAGGTATTGAGGAGTGTTGAACCACCACTTAATTGCTGGTATTCCCAGATCGACCCTGACCTGGGGTGGTAGCACCTGTTAGGGCCCCAGCTATGAGTAAAAAGTTAATTGCAGTTAATTTGTCCTGGGTTTGATGATAAACTACATCCACTTCCTGGGTAAGACATTAAACTACATCCGTAGTAAGGCCTCTGATCAGGAAGTTTTGAAGAGTGTGGCACCAGCTCTTAATTGGTAGTTTTCCCATATCCACCCTGACTCGGTGTGCTAGCACCTGTTGGGGTCCCAGGTATGGGCATAGTTAAGTAGGGAGAATTTCTTCTGGGTATGATGATAAACTACATCCATGTCCTGATATTACCAGCAATACATTTTTGAAAAAATATTACCTGCAGTAGATTTTTGAAGGAAAAAAATATTACCAGCAATTCATTTTTGAAAAAAGAAAATTACCAGCAATAAAAATTGAGGTTGATAAAACAAAACAAAACAAACCAAGCCAAACTGATCTGGAGTGGTAGCACCTGTTAGAGTCCCAGCTATGGGCAAATAGTTAACCCCCAAACTGGGGTCAAAACACTATAAAAGTGTAAAAATAGGTTTAATACAGCAATACATTTTTGTAAAAATTATTACCAACAATACATTATGATCAGCAATACATTTTTGAAAAATAAAAATTACCAGTAATAAAAATCTTGTCATTAAATAACCCGTTGAGATTGATATGTCATAAAAAAACCCAAACCAAATCAAAAAACATAAAACACTAAATACTAAAAATCACTTTCACTGTGTGCAAACAAATGAAAAACAATGCCACCTATAAACTATTTGTTTTCAAATCATATATATAATATATATATATATAAACAGGATTTGGCATTAAATAACCCACAGGGTCGATATGCCAGAAAATTCACTTAACTAACCAAACCTCTTTCCTCACTATGTGCCCTAGAAATGACAAATCTTTCTGATACTAAGTATAAGTGTACTTCTTGTTTCCATTTTCTCTAAAACTTCATCACATGTTCAGTCCATGGTATCCTCAGCATCCTTCTGTAGAACCACATTCCTGTTACCTCAAGTCTCAATTTCATCTATGCAAAGATTGTCCAGCATTCACTGTCACATAGGAGTATTGTTATGTAATTGTTCAGTACTCTTGTTTCTAATGAAATTTTCCCATTTCTTAATAATTTGCTTAGCTTTTGAAAGGAATCTTTCACTATCCCAATGTACCTTCAGGTTTTGATGTTGCATTTTCTGTCCTGTTCAAACACTTCATATATACTTCAAACAGAATATATCACAACCTCCCCTGAACCATCCGAGTTGAAGTCACTCAATAATACAAAAGAGTTGAGGACTTGGATCTCACATAATAGATTCCCAAAAAGACTTCAACATCTGCAAAGCTCTTGCATGGGATGCGTGTAACAAACTTCACAAGATTTGGTGCTCAATGATGATTTACTCCTTCCACAGACACCCAGTCTCAGCTAAACTGCCATCTTGTCAAAGGAAACTACAACAACCAACAAAGAGGAGATCACTCCAAACAGACTTCCTTTTATCTATAGACAAGAGAAGACAACTCAACAGTCTTAACACTCAAGCCTTCCATCCTCCTTAAAATTCCAAACCTTTCGAACACAGATTGAACCAGTCCTACTATATGGATCAGAAACTTGGACATTATCTGCTTGTCTTGAAAGATGACTGGATAGAACACATGCAAATCTACTTAGAAAAATCCAGCGCATCAGTTGGAGATCCCATGCAATATGCGTCCTCCGACAGTGATTGAACCTGTATCCTATGAAAATTTCTCAGACATTCAGGCCAGTAAATGTTGTCAATACTGTTTATTATAAACAGAGCATTTACTTAAATATTTGTATCTATAAAAAGAATGTATAAACATGAAAAATGTCTTAAAAGACAATTGTCGGACTTTGTCCATACCAGGATATATGTATAAAACTGTAAAAATACATAAACCTAACTTCCCCCTCCAACCTATCATATCTCAAATCCCCACCCCTGTTTACCAGCTAACTAAAGCTCTTAATCAACTAATTACACCGTAAATTCGAAATAAATACAACATAAAGTCAACACATGAATTACTCCAAATTCCAAAAACGAAAAATCCCAATAAGGAAACTTTAGCCTCACTCACGTTGAAAGCTTGTTTACCAACGTCTGAGTCAGAGAAACAATAGATATAATCATAAATAATATCTACAACAATCCATCTCTCTCCCTCCCTCCATTAAAAATTCGGCCTAATATTTAAAAAAAAAACTACTCTTGATGTGCACCACAGTATTTCTTTTTTATGACCACAAAAATAACATATACGTACAATGTAATGGTGTCTCTATGGGTTCCATCCTTGGGCCAACATTTAGCAGTTTTTATATGACTAATTTAGAAAATAATGTACTTAATACCACAAAAAGCCCTCCATTTTCCTAAGATATGTACATCCTGGCTCTGATGATAAACTACATCCATGTCCTGGGTAAGACTATAAACTACGTCCAACAGCAAGGCCTCTGATCAAAAGATTTTGAGGAGTGCGGAACCACCTCTTAATTGCTGGTGTTCCCAGGTCCACCCTGACCTGGGGTGGTAGCACCTTTTAGAGTCCCAGCTATGGGTAAATAGTTAACCCCTAAACTGAGGTCAAAACACTATGAAAGTGTAAAACTAAGTTTTAATACCAGAAATACTTTGTAAAAATTTTTTTTGATACAACCTATCTCTCTCTCTCTCTATATATATATATATATATATATATATATATATGTGTGTGTGTGTGTGCAAATATATAGAAAATAGGAAAGAACTCGTTAGGTAAATAATCCAAAGTTCTTTAGTATTTTTGTTTTTATTTTTAAAAAACAGTGCTCAATACAAAAGTAGAGCCTAAATTATAATTATTTTGTAAAAATATGTTTCTTTTGCTACATAAGAGTTCTCATGTTCAAAAACAAGAACTGAAAACTTCAATATAATTATTAAAATTAAATTGAATTAAAGTATCAAGCTCTGTTTCATCTTCAAGCGAAATTTTTGGAATAACTAATCTTGAAATTTAGAGCTTGATACTTTAATTCAATGTAATTCTAATAATTGAAGTTTTCAACTCTTGTTTTTGAAACATGAAAACTCTTATGTAGCGAAGGAATCATATCTTTAAAAAATTATATATATATATTTGTATATTTAGGCAGCAATCCTTCCTTTATGCATGTTTCATCAAAAACGACGGACAAGGTACTACGGTTGAGCTTTTTACTTAATTTTTCTGGACAAAGGGTGTGTAAGAACTGTCCAAATGTTTTATATTTCCGAGTGCTTTCGGTTATACCTTTAGCCATTATCAAGGATGATTCGATTATCAGCTTAGTTGAGTGTGTGCGTTCTGTGTATGTATCAGTGTGTGGTAGGGATGTTTTTAATTTCTGAATACGGTTAGCACATTGTGGCTTTGTTCGTAGTTAATAATGTTAAGAGTTGGCTTTTTGTTTTTTATTATTAGAGCTTCCATTATTTTTAGTCTTTTTTGCAAGTGGATGCAAAATATAATATATTTGTGTTTTCTACTAGTATGTTCCTAATGGTGTCGAGTAAATCTGAGTGTGTGTTTAAATGTGTTCTGATGGAGCTGTGATCAGATAGGTGTAACATAAGATGTCTGGATAAACATGTGGTTGTGTAGCCAATGTGATTATTTATGAGTCCGGTTTGGTGATGAACGCAGTTCCTTAAAGGGCATTTGAACACATAGATAATGTTTGTTCTTTGTAATTTTGACTTAGTTGGTGTGTTGTTATTTTTGAGGATAAGGTTGGCCGTCTTAAATTTTTTATAATAGATAATAAGTTTGATTTTTTTGTTCGGATCAATAGGAGTAGTATATTTCTTTATAATATGCCTTAGAGAACATTCATCTTGTTTGTAATTAATATGCATTTGGTTTTTGTAATAAATGGGTATGTGATTTTTGGCTGTGTGTTTGTTATCGTTATTACTTGCTTTGGGGAGGAATAGTCTAATTTGTTGGTCTATAAGATAGTTAGGGAAACCGTTGTTTATTAGTGTTTGTTTAACATTAAGTTCTTTGAGGAAGAGTAGTCGAGAGGATGAGATCTGGTGTGCTCTATTTAGAAAGTTTTTTTATTACTGCTGCTTTGTACCTAAGTGGACATTCGGACAGTTCTTCTTACACACCCTTTGTCCAGAAAAGAAAGCTCTTGTCAGAACACAAGAAAAATTAAATAAAAAGCTCAACCATAGTACCTTGTCTGTCGTTTTTAATGAAACATACATATATATATATATATATATATATATTTGACACTGAAGTCAGCAGTGTCACATGCTTGGATGCAATCTTCAGGCTTTGTGTGTTGGGTTTTCACTAGATTATTTATATATGTTAGTTAATAATCTATTATGAGTAGCATGATCTATTGTATTATCCTAACAGTTATTGGGTGGGTGTTAGCAGTTATATTTTAAATTATTCTTATTCTAGAAGATATTGAGTAGAAATAATTGTGATCATTTGTAGCTATTTTATGATGTTGTTTTTTAACATTTTACAGATTATTCATTATTGATTATTTTTGTGGTGTTTATTATTATTATTATTATTACATTTGCTAATGTTTATATATGCATTTGTAGTTAATGTTGTTTATTATTTACTTATTTTGTTTATTTATTTGGGGAGGGGGTTGGTTATCTTATTTGTTTAGTATATAGAATTGGCTTTATCTGAAGTATGTTATATTATCGGCACCAATAATATAACATACACAGGTATGTTATATTATCAGTGCTGTAGTATATAGCGTCATATCTGCATTGTATATAGTGTCGTATCTGTGTTGTACATATTTGCATTTTTTATAGTGATATTTTACAAGGTATTTGTTTTTAGTTTCTGATTTTTAAGTAATATAGTAAAAGTTTGTTTTTGTTTCTGTATTTTGAGATAAGTTCTGATCATTTATTTAGTAACTTGTGTTGGTCTGGGAAGGTGATTATAGCTATTGTCTCTTTCAGAGTTCACAGTTTGGAGATTTATTGTTGTGGGCTGAAGGTCTATCCCTGAGAGATTACTTTTATCCATAAATATAGCAAACCTTAAGAATATATCATATATATCATTGAAACGAATTCATGGATTTATATTCGGACATTTTTTTTATTGCTTCACTCATTACTATAACAAGTACACGATATTTAAATAGAGACCCCATATATATTTATCAAACAGTATAATAATACATCTATTGCAACTTCATATTTGAGAGATCTTACTGCAGGTAACACATTTTTCTTTAATAAGATTTCTTGAATGTACAATCTGAAACGTGTAATACCACTCTTTAATAAATATAAATGGGGCATCTGTTTAAAATTTAGAATATTCACTGTAATAACATTATATATACCAAGTGTATCATGCAACTTTTGAAGACCTAATTTTGAAGCTAGTTAGATTACAGTAAATGGATATGTAGTTTGATCAATACCATAACCAGTGCCAGCAGTACATTACCTGATAATTGCATTTTGCAGGAAACACTGTTGCTTTTAATATTCACTTTTATATTTACATACACTCTATCAATGATATTGAGCACTTTGACCCATAAATATAGCATACCTTATTATTGTCGTTTGGGGACCTTGTGGCACTTGGTGCACCAGGTCTCCTTATTCGGCCCTTCAAAAAGTGTGGCTGGTCCTTCACGAAACCTTCACCACTATAATCAAATCTCATGTGCTGTTGTTGGGCTATCGGTTTCCTGGGAACTGATCTGTTTGATCCTCATATGTCGAATTCAACAGGAGAGTCAAGAATATATATATATATATATATATATATATATATATAAAGTCAAATTTCAAGTGGGCAGTGATGTCTTCAAGTATGATGTACTCTACCTTATTTCATTCAGTTCCCAAGGAAACAGAATTATTTTTTTTACTCTTTGTCATTCATTTGCCTAACATTGTTCTGACATATAGAAATTTATATATTATATTCTCACATATAATATATATATATATATATATACCCATTAATTCTTTTTTATATATATATATATATATATATATATATATATATATATATAATTCTTTAGAAATATATATATATATATATACACACACATATATATATGTATATTAAAAAAAAAAAAAACTGCAAACGTTTTTTGGTTGTAATGTGTACTTTTTAAAAAATGTTATGCTTTATTTTCCCTAATTTTGAAAAATTATGTTAAATATTCTCTATATGAGACATTCTCTTTTTCTGTGTTTTCTTTTTTGAACTGCAGTTCAAGAAAAGACATTTTGGTCACTAACACAGAAAAAGAGAATGTCTCATATTGAGAATATTTAACATAAAGGAAAAAATTATTTTTAATAATATGTGGAAAACTCCACCCTTTGCCTGATGATGGTCACAAGACCAGAAACTCCTGTAGCAAAATTATGGAAAATAAAGCATAATATTTAAAAAAAAAAAAAAAATCCACATTACAACCAAAAACGTTTGAGGTTTCTCTCTTCTTTTTAATATACACACTTTTATCTCATTCGAACTACTATAACCTCTCCCTTTTACACACACATATATATTATTTATATGCACCTAATATTTTTTTTTCCTCAACAGAGATTTGGTCAAAAAACTCTTGGTACAAGATCGAACAAAAAGACTAGGAAACATGAAGGTAAGTAATACATATTTCTTTTTTAATTTTTAAGTTGATATATTTATTCTGTGTTACATGAAAAACATGTTTCTTTGAACTTTTTTTTTCTCATGAGTTACATTTGAAAAGCTTCCATGACGCTTGCCTATCATCCAGTTTATACTCTGAACAGGAGTAGAGGTTTATCTCTTGTTTCCAGTTTAGGATTTGGTTTCCAGATCCTTGTAAAGTTTTCTCGTTCTCTTTCACTCCCAGTAGCCCATTGTGTGTTAGTGGCTTTCTCACATGACAGAATCGCTAAAAGCAACAATAGCTTGAAAGTTTAGAGCAGACAATTTTCTCTTTTAGGCAGAAGAATAAAGACTAAAACTCCTGCTTGGGGGTGTGACAATAGAAGAAAATGTTTATTTACATACACAAAAAAAGGTAAAGGGATATATACAAAATATGAGAGAAAGAAATGGAGAAGAAAATTCCTTTATATGAACACTTCTTTTACTTTCAGTTAAAGTCTTGCTCAAAATATTTCTCTGAGTGCCTAAAAGTTCTTTAAGCAAGTAAATTGTTTTAAAGGCATTAACACTCACATAGCCCTTGCTCTTGTTGATGGGGAAACAATTGGAATATCTGTAGTTTGCAGTTAAGTGAGTACATAAGCCAACAAAAGGAATTTCAGGGTCCTAGGAAACAAATGTCAAGTAGCTTTAGTAGAGGGCCAACATTCTGTCTTTAGAGCCTATTGAAACAGGTTCTGAAGATGACTGGTATTACTGTCGTCGACCTGATGCTATCACAATGTCCAATACTCACTACCAAAGAGGTGGATATTCTCCATATTTATTGAGATTAGAAGGCTCAGAAATATTGGGAATTTTTCCCTCCAACACTTTCCCGGCCCACTCATTCGTCAGAAAATATATTCTTATCTCTGATAAGAATTCAATGTTTGGGGATTGGATTTTGGAAGCAAGTAGTGACCATTACAAACTTCATTGCATTATGGTCAGGGCAGGGGTGGTCACGTTCCTTTTTATAATTTTCCAGCTCTCTCGTATGTCAGAAAATATATTTTTATCTCTGATAAGGATCAAGTCTTTGGGAGCCGGATTTGAAAACAAGAGTGAAAGTCAGGGCAAAGATCAGAAAAGAGGCTAGAATGTGAACTTGTAAAACATTGCAGTGGTTTTCAAATTAAATTCTAATACCTTGTTTGAAGTGAATTAAAAAAAAAAATGCAACAAATACAGGAAGTACAACACCACCTTTGAGTAGAGCAAGAAGTAGATAGAAAAAAATATTTCACCATACAGTCCCTACAATCTACGTAAAATGCTTTTTTTTATGTTGCACCTGTTTATAGCATTTTTGGTATTTTTAGTGTCTACTCATATTTGAGTAGAGTCTCCATTTATTTATTAAACAGTATGTTTATTTATTTTCCTCTACTGGCCTGAATATTCAAAAATCCTATTAAAAATAAATTATGTTCTCTAGCAGGATTTAAACGTGCATCTTTCTAGGCAGAGGGAGCTATCATTAAATCCCACACACTCTGACCGACTCCACTACAGAGAACCAATTACTCAGGCAAGACAAGCAAGCAAAAACCTCTCTTATAGATCTCCTGAAAGCCTAGATCTGCCGGAGAGCATAAAATTTTCTTTAATAGGATTTCTTGAAAATAAATGTATGAGTATCCGCTAAAAATAATGTTTAAAGTGATAAAAATTGAATTAATAAAAATCCATTGCTTTCTCTAAAGTTCACCTAGTTATAAGTAATAGAAGCAATTACTAATTTGTTTATATCGACCAGGAAAGCTCCAAAATTAATGCCTCATAATCATTACAAGGAACATAAAAACAACTGCTTGAGCAAGTTTTTAACTTCAAAACAGTTTTCTCCCACATAGTTAGCACCATTGTTTATGCATTTTCACCAAAGATAATAGCATATTATATAGTAAGATATATTATTGATATACATTATATATATATATATATATGAATTTAGTGTATTGGGTCAGCAGACCATTAGTCAAACATATATTATTAAATATAACAGACAAAGAATGTCTTATGTTTGATCATGAGCCGTTCTAAGCTTTCGGCACACATGAGCTATCATCAGAGTGGTTATATGGACATTACCACAG